TTGCAACTGAGGCAGCTCAACCATTTAGGTGCCAGGAGCTCCCTTTGTGTTGGGATGGGATATTTGGCGCGACACACAACGTGCTGAAGATGTGGCCATGGCAGTCGTTGAGCATTTAGAAGGAAACTTGAAATTTTTCCTAGGAGATCGTGAAGCCTTCAACTTGATTTTTGCCGTTCTAGGACCGTGTGCTAAGAAAGTAAGCGTTATTAATGCTAAATCTGTCATGCATAAAATTTGTCGGTATTTTTTGCAGTTTCCATCCGTAAAGAGTCGCCTGTCCACATTCTCAGCTAAGGTGTTGAAAAGCGCAGCAACATCCCCTGCTATAGAAGGACATCTGAGGCAGTATGTGCCAAATGCACCTGTACATGGAATCCAGAAGAAAAAGGTGTTTTGACTATCAAATTTTTGTTTTTTTGTTTTTGTCATCATCGCTTAAAATTTGAAGTTTTTTTTTTGGTTTTCAGGAGCTTACCGATGAGGAGATTCTTGAAGCGCTTTATACGAAGAACATTCCTGCTGGCTACAGTCGTGCAATGTAAGTTTTCAACATATCGTGTCCATGTCTCCTCACCCTTTGGTGACTCATGATTGTCTTTACCTTTTCTAAAAAACTTTTCCAAGATTTTCTTCATCGTTTTGATGGTTTATCGGAGTTTTTTAGACTTCTCAACAAATTTTTGCAACGACGCATAGAGATTTTCGCTCGTTCTAGTGATCCCGCCGAATTCGATAACGAAGTAAGCGATTTTATAATTTTGCTCATCACTATGTTGATCTACTTCAGATGTTGGCCATTTTTGGCGGGCCTGGCATTGAAGAACTTGTCGCGCAAATGCCTCGGCGAACACCGCTAAAAACAATCGAACAAGTCTTCTTCAAGCTGTTATCTGCCTTCAATCCGAAGTATCTTACCTGATTTTTATAGTTGCTTTTTGTAATTTTTAGTTTTTTATTGATATATTGACCTTTGTTCAGGTATAATCCCCATACTGTATGCACATTTTTCACTCTGAATGCTATCCGAGAGTTTTGTCGGGTGTGGTCTGCACCGCAATGGGCGTGTCTTGCACGGTACTTGGTTGAGATGGTAATGCGTGATCCACAACAAATGAAAATGGCTGTGGATTTGATTGAGCATCTGGTAAGTTTCCAAAAATTTGATCTTTTTGGTTGTTTCGTTACCTTTTGAGTTGTCTTAATTTTCTTTGTTTTGAGGTTGATATGACCAGTGTGGAAGTAGCCATACCTATGGCTGAAGTGATTGTTACCTTAGCCAGATCGGATCTTCCGGTAGACCAGAGAAGACATGCTCAGAATCTGTTGGACGAAATTCAGAACAAGTATCCATGTAAGGTCTTTCGTCTGCCTCTTCTCCTCACCCTCTCCATCTCATTCCATAATGTCCAGGTTTGTTCGTGGATAAACTGGCAAATCGTGCATCCATACAAGGTGTGCGCTGGCGGCAACGAGACACTGACGGGCTCGTAACAACTCTAGTTGCTCAAGCGGTAGATCCGGGAGTGACGGACTCGGTCGGTGCAGTGAAAACCCTTACTCAATTTGTGGAGACTTACCCAAGGGTAATGATCCGGTAAGTCTTGTTAACACAGAGATGTGATGTTCAACAATTCTTTTGACAGAAATTATGGAACTATGGCACAGCAGATTCCTCTATTAACTAGAATGCCTAGTGGAATGAGAAAAGTTAGTGTT